TTTTTTTTTTTTTTTTTTTTTTTCTTTTTGAAAATACCCACGTTCGGTCTCTCCTTCGTGAGGAAGACTGTTTCGCCTAATTTTTAAGTTTAAAGCTACTGAAATTATAAATAATAATTACTAAGAAAAAATTATTATTATAATTTTTATTTTTTTATATATTATTGTGATCGTATTTAGAAAGTATTTGAATATATTTTTATAAATTATTATTTTTTATATATATATTATAATGTAATAATTATAATTATATTATAATATATTATAATTATAATTATATATTATAGTAATTTATTTAATGTAATTAATATATTATAATCATTTTTTTTTCTTTTCGAAGATTCATCTTGATTTAACAAGTTTTTAATTTTAAAGCTATTAGAATTATAAAAATAATTATTAGGACAGTTATATAATTCGCAACTAGAATAATTTCAGTATTTCAAAAAATAGTTCAAGTGGAATGATAATTTTGGGAATTGTAGATAATTAGAAAAATTTTTTTTGAAATTATATAGTTGATAAAAACGTTAATTTTGTAAATTAAAAAGTTAATATAATCGTATCATAATTATCCGAACGCTGTATCACGGGTTTGAGTTAGAATTTAACCCCTTCGAGGACGAATTTTTAATTTCAGTTGTAACAAAGAAATTTAATTTAAATAATAATGAAAAATAAATAAAAATAAATAATAATAAAAAATAATGAAAAATAAATAAAAATAAATAATAAAAAATAATGAAAAATAAATAAAAATAAATAATAAAAAATAAATAAAAATAAATAATAATAAAAAATAATGAAAAATAAATAAAAATAAATAATAAAAAATAAATAAAAATAAATAATAAAAAATAAATAAAAATAAATAATAAAAAATAAATAAAAATAAATAATAAGAAATAATAAAAAATAAATAATAAACTGGTGGCTGCCGAGCTTTAATTAAAATCATCTCGTCTTTGCAAAATGAATATTTCTATCGTGAGCATTGATTTTCAACATTGGCATATTTCGTAACGATACGTAACGACTGCACTAATCAAGGAAATATTTAAATTCGACGTGAGCAATTGCACGCCGCAGCGTGTGAATCTATTAAACGCGGAAGAGACGAACGCTTAAGTTACCATTGGATAAAGTTCTGTTGATTCGAAGTTTCCCTGTGCTCGGCACAAATGAAATTACTTTTATGCATTCGTATACATTTTCTCCCTGATAACGCTCGTAAAAGTTCCGCTCAGCAGGAGCAAAGTTTTTGCCGAGAATGGCACTCGTATTTAATAACATTGAATATTGAATATTTTAGTTTTTACTCTTTTGTCTGTAACTGATTTTATTTATCACAAAGGGAACGAGATTTGCGACTTACAAATGTAAATATATGCAAGAAAAATTCCTTCAGGGAATTTCAGAGAATTTGTAATTCGAAAATTCGAATGTTTTTGGTTAAAATTCTCCAATAAAGACTTTTTAAAAATGAAACAGTTCGAATAAATATAATGATTATTGAATGGAACAGAGTGAATGATATGCAATCAGATAAATGAAATGAGATAGAATATTATATAGCTTAGGAATTAAATGATATGAAGACGAAGACTCTAAATGACAAAATAAATCTAATTGTAAGTATATACAACGTTTTGCAGCTGCAGAATTCTAAAAATTCATTCGAGACTTACTGGTTCAATTTCAGAAATTATACGATTTGATTCAGCATCACCAATTCTAATTAAAAAAAGATAATCTATAATTGTGTGTGTATATAATACATGTACATACAAAAAAATATATATATATAAAATAATATAATAATAGATTTTATATTATTCTATTATATTCTGTCAACAATAGAATAGAATAATGGGGAAAATATCATGTTTGTGGTGGGAAGTTTTTTTTGTTTCTTTTTTTATTTAATTTTTGAAGGAATTTTTATCTCAATTTCTTTATCTTAATTTTAAAGGAATATTTATTTTAATTTTAAAGGAATTTTTGTCTTAATTTCTGTATCTTAATTTTAA